TATAAATTAATGAGTCTCTAAACCAGTGTAAGTTGAACTTTTGTAAGTCAAATGTTTTCCCATTCGTTTATGTTAAAATTTTAGTAATATTTCATCCCCATTTCTGCTTAATCCTCAGTTGATTCTCAATCAGTTTTAACTTCCATGTTCCCAGGTTCTTAAGTTAATGATCTATTCAGGAGTTCTTGAAAAGAGCCAGGGACCCCATCATGCGGATCCTTTTGTAAAACAGTCTCTTTAGAAATTTGAAGACATTTTTCTCTGTACTTTGACTAATCACCCCTAAGATACCAGGTTTAGAAGTTCAGACTTCTATTCAAGCATGGGTTTTTGAAACTGAGCACACCTAATTTCCTCTTTTATAGCTTATTATGGAAAAAAAGTCACAAATAGCATAAGCAACTCATTTTTCGAAATAAGTAGTTCATGTTTTTTTTTTTTTACATCTTTATTGGAGTATAATTGCTTTACAATGGTGTGCTAGTTTCTGCTTTATAACAAAGTGAATCAGCTATACATATACATATGTTCCCATATCTCTTCTCTCTTGCGTCTCGCTCCCTCCCACCCTCCCTATCCCACCCCTCTAGGTGGTCACAAAGCACCGAGCTGATCACCCTGTGCTATGCGCCTGCATCCCACTAGCTATTTTACATTTGGTAGTGTATATATGTCCATGCCACTCTCTCACTTCATCCCAGCTTACCCTTCCCCCTCCCCGTGCCCTTAAGTCCATTCTCTGTGTCTGCGTCTTTATTCCTGTCCTGCCCCTAGGCTCTTCAGAACCATCTTTTTTTTTTTTTTAGATTCCATATATATGTGTTAGCCTATGGTAATTGTTTTTCTCTTTCTGACTTACTTCACTCTGTATGACAGACTCTAGGTCCATCCACCTCACTACAAATAACTCAATTTCGTTTCCTTTTATGGCTGAGTAATATTCCATTGTATATATGTGCCATATCTTTATCGATTCAACATTTTTTTTTTAATAACAGAGAAGGAAAGGGAGAGAGGGAGGGAGGAAGGATGGAAACTTCCTAAGGAAGTCCAGTAGAAGCGGTTCAGAGGAAACGACAAATTCAGATTCCAATACTCTCCCACTCTTCCAGTCCTTCTTGAGAAAACGTTACTCCCCTGGAGCCAGAACCTTTCTGAATCCTCAGGATGAAGTGGGCTTTGAGAGCTGACACTTTAAAGCTGCCGGAAGCTGGCAAGGGAGTGAGCTTGGTTATTCACTGCTTATTCGCTCGCAGGAGGGAGATGACCGTGCTGCTCGTCGCACTGTGGCTGCCCGCCTGACGGAGGCTGTTTATTTTGGAGCCTTTCATTTCATCATGGTGCGGTTCTCAGCTGAAGCCCAAGTGTCCCCTGGATAAATTAAGGACTCTTTCTTTCTCCCCTCATAAAGTGACCTAACTCATTCAGAAATCATTGTGGGCCTCCAGGGACCAGATCCTATTGTAGGCACCTGGGCTCCACTGGTGAGCAAGCCACGCAAAGGTCCCTGCCTTGTGGAAGTGACATTCGCTCAGAGAAGACAGACAACAAGTAGTCAACATAAGGAAAGTTAGACAGTGTGTTGGAAGGTAGTGAGTATTATGCTGGGGAGGGAAGAGGGCAGGAGGGTCTGGCTTTGGGCTCGGGAGGGATTGCATTTGAAACAGGGAGGTCAAGGTGGGGCTTGGTGGTGGTGACATTTGAGCAAAGACTTGAAGGGGATGTGGGCGTGAGCCACTGGGTACTCTGCAGGAATGGTGTTTCAGGCAGAGAGGGAACAGCCGGCGCAAAGGCCCTGCGTCCCTGTTTGTGTTCTGATCTGTGTGGTTCTCAACCACAATGATCTTGCCCCCAGGAGACGTTTGGCAATATCTGAAGACACTTCAGTTCGTCACTGTTGGGATGGGGCTGGGGGACACTACTGGCATCTCCTGGGTAGAGGCCAGGGATGCAACTACACATCCTTAAATGCTCCCACAACAAAGAATGTTCCAGCCCAAAATGTCAATAGTGCTGAGGTTGAGAAACCTTGTGTTTGAGGAACAGTGAGAAGGCCAGAGAAGCTGGAGGGGGAGGCAGTAAGGAAGAAGGAAGTTGCATACGAGGTCAGTGGTAACAGAGGCTGGGACGGAGTGGGTGGCCAGGTCAGGGAGGGCCTTGGGCCAGTGTCGACTTTGGCTTTTATGCCAAGGGAAATGGGGAGCCATTGGAGGGCTTGGAGCAGAGGAGGGACATGAGCTGCGTTAACAGTTTTAAGAGTGTTGCTCTTAAAACTGCAACAGACTGAAGGAGGGTAAGGCTGGAATGCAGGGGCTCAGGGGCAAGAGGCGATGGAGCACAGATCAGTGGAAGCAGCTTTGAGAATTCTGTGCACAGGACCATCCAGTGCCAAATTTTAGATTTTAGTTTTAGGGCAACAAGGTGATCTGGAAATTCCACACCATCCCCACTCTTTTCATTACTATATGTCATATGTTTTGCACACACACACACACACACACACACACACACACAGATGAGAGAGAGAGAAATAGATATGGTTAAGTTGCCTTAGCTGGATTATGTTTTACACAACAGGCTACCTGATATCTGTTTTAACAATTTGCTCATAACAAAACAATTTGACGTGGGTTAGGCCCAGTGTAATCCTTCTCTGCTTTAACATGGGCTTGGCAAAAAAAATTCCCTCTTGCTAACAACTCTTTTGTGGCATATTGTCCTAAGCCACATATAACCCTAAACATACTAAATTACCTGAAAATGGGATGGAGAGCATAAAAGGTTTAGTACCTAATAAATGGGCGTTTGAATTGCTTTCCTCTTTTAAAAATGTATTCAGTTGCTCAAAGTTACTCTTCTCTTACTTGATCAGCCAAAGCAAATGCTTGAAACACAGCAGAAAACGCCAAGAGACTGCAAATTCATGCGTTTGTCCAAGGTCTCAAACATCGTAGAAGCATCACCTCAATCATTCCTCCATGTGATCTCCCTAAAATGCACATCTCTTGTCCTCTTTGCACCCAGAGCCAGTGGGAGTCATGTGACAGCCCGTAGCAGAGGCTGGACACCCCCCTCCCACCATCTGCCAACAAACAGCGTCTCAGTCCATGTACTGCTATGATACATTTACATGTCATCTTCCATGTCCTGGCTATTGTAAATAGAGCTGCAATGAACATTGTGGTCCATGACTCTTTTTGAATTACGGTTTTCTCAGGGTATATGCCCAGTAGTGGGATTGCTGGGGCGTATGGTAGTTCTATTTGTAGTTTTTTAAGGAACCTCCAAGTGTCCATCAACAGATGAATTGGTAAAGAAGATGTGGCACATATATACAATGGAATATTACTCAGCCATAAAAAGAAATGAAATTGAGTTATTTGTAGTGAGGTGGATGGACCTAGAGTCTGTCATACGGAGTGAAGTAAGTCAGAAAGAGAAAAACAAATACCGTATGCTAACACATATATATGGAAGCTAAAAAAAAAAAAAGAGATGGTTCTGAAGAGCCTAGGTGCAGGACAGGAATAAAGACGCAGACATAGAGAATGGACTTGAGGACACGGGGAGGGGGAAGGGTAAGCTGGGACGAAGTGAGAGAGTGGCATGGACATATATACACTACCAAATGTAAAATAGATAGCTAGTGGCAAGCAGCTGCATAGCACAGGGAGATCAGCTCGGTGCTTTGTGTCCACCTAGAGGGGTGGGATAGGGAGGGTGGGAGGGAGACGCAAGAGGGAGGAGATATGGGGATATATGTATATGTATAGCTGATTTGCTTTGTTGTAGAGCAGAAGCTGACACACCATTGTGGAGCAATGGTACTCCAATAAAGATGTTAAAAAAAAGAAAGAAAGAAAGAAAGAAAGGAAATACATTAACTTTAAATACTCAAAAAAAAAAAAGAAATATAAGGTTAAATAAAATATATGAAAATTTTTTTTTAAAATGTCATCTTGGGCTTCCCTGGTGGCGCAGTGGTTGAGAGTCTGCCTGCCGATGCAGGGGACATGGGTTCATGACCCGGTCCGGGAAGATCCCACATGCCGCATAGCGGCTGGGCCCGTGAGCCATGGCCGCTGAGCCTGTGCGTCCGGAGCCTGTGCTCCGCAACGGGAGAGGCAACAAAAGAGAGAGGCCCCCGTATACTAAAAAAAAAAAAAAAAAAAAAAAGTCATCTTACAGTATGACCATATATTTTTAAAGTCATGCTAATCCAAAGAAGTGGTAAATTAGTCTGTTAGTGAAAAGTAGGCTTAATGTTTTTTAAGGAAGCTCTAAAATACAGTTGAGCTCAAGAGCTTTTCATGTGATCTGTCAGAATGGTTCTCGTCCCACTCAGCTGAGCAGAGGTGCTAAGTCGGGGTGGATTTCAGGAAAGAGCACTCCTCGGTATTCCAGGTGAAAGCAGCAGTGTCTTCCAAGCCCAGTCCAAGGTTAATCCTTTTTTCACCCTCTAAGACAGGGTTTCTCAACGTATGCTCCATGGACCACCCCCATCAGAATTTCTCCAGGGCTCGTTAGAAGTACGGATTCCTCGGCCCCTCCCCATGCTTCCCTTAGGGTCGGCTAGGACTCTGCATTTCCGTGAGCATCCCAGCATAGTCCCATCCACACTCACATTTGAGAACCTGTGGGTTACGTTATGAGAGCAAGAAGAAGGGGCCTCCATCTGCATCTGCACCCTCCATACAGACGCGTTACAAAATGGCCGATGTTATTCAAATGGCAGTTCCCGTTCTAAGGATCTGTCTTCAGCACGAAGTGTGTCATGCCCCGTGTGGATGAACTTCCTTCCGCGGCGTCTTGGAGGGTACCTTTTGGCCTGTGTCCTCAGGCTCGGGGCGGACGGGGGGGGGACAGCGGTCCCTGAGCTGATAGTCTCACCCTGAGGCCGAGCTTGGCCCCGCCTTTAGGAGACACCGGGGTCTTGGAGCCTCCTCGAAGCGGTCGTTGCTGTTGTCTCACGTGACCGTTTCTGTTTTCTTGTTGCACAGCAAATATGCCAGAGGATTATCCTGATCAGTTTCATGATGTCATGGATTTTATACAAGCCACCATTAGAAGACTGAAAAGGTCACCCGATAGACAAATGGCCGTGCTTCCTCGCAGAGAGCGGCACCGGCAGGCTGCAGCCGCCAGCCCGGAGAGTTCCCGAGGGAAAGGCCGGCGGGGCCAGAGGGGCCGAAATCGGGGGTGCGTCTTAACTGCCGTGCATCTGAATGTCACTGACTTGGGTTTGGGCTACGAAACCAAGGAGGAACTCATTTTCAGGTACTGCAGCGGCTCCTGCGATGCAGCCGAGACAATGTATGACAAAATATTAAAAAACTTGTCCAAAAATAGAAGGCTGGTGAGTGACAAAGTCGGGCAGGCGTGTTGCAGACCCCTCGCCTTCGATGACGACCTGTCCTTTTTAGACGATAACCTGGTTTACCATATTCTGAGAAAGCATTCCGCCAAACGCTGTGGATGTATCTGACTCCCGCTCCAGAGACCGCTGTGTATTGCATTCCTGCCACAAAGTGCAAAGAAAGGGACCAAGGTTCCCAGAAAATGTTTGCCCGGAGTGGAAGATAAGGACCAAGGAGTCGAGGAGGAGGCAGGCAGCCGTTGTGGGAGCCGGGCCGAGGGAGATCCAGCGACAGAAAACTGGGCGGGAGAGAGAGGAAACAGCTGTCTGCATTCTCCCAGATGGCGGCCAGCGTCACCAGAAGCTCAGGGCTGGTGTCCCTGCTTGGGTGTTGCCATCGTTTCATCCGATACAGTCCACCGTCGCCGGTCACGGGTACAGTTGCGGATGCACTTGAAACCAAACCAGCGTATCTCCTGTGGTTTGTTTTCACATGTCTGAAGACACCAGGGAAATGGTCCTCCTGGTGTCATTCCCTGTCATTACGTTTTACTGCTGAAAGCAAGAAAGGTTTATTTTTCTGTCACTCAGTGGAGACATACACCGGCAAGAAGGAGAAAAAAAAGCAAAGACACACACGAGAGGTAGTAACCTTTGCTTTTGAAGGTTGAGGCCTGAGGTTTACTCCAGCCAGCGTTTTGGGGAACAGTGAGTGATTGATTTCAAACATGGTGTGTGAGGTGGGAAGAGGTTGGCTAGGAACCAGAAAGGCTGTCCTCATGACTAAAACCAAACCTGAAGGTATTTCCTTTCTGTCCTTGGAAACAGGAAACCAGTTGTGGTTTTCGGCAGCATTCTTGCAGGAGAGCGTTCGGGGAAGGCCCCCAGCTGCACCGGGGCGGGGAGGCCTCCGGGCTCTCGGTTTACAGAGAGACAGATGTTACATACACCCCAGCTCCGTTATGCGTGGTCACCAGTGACCAGAGAAGCTACTCGATGCAATGCATCTGTTTCAGATACAGAAGTATAGAGAAAATATTTATTGAGATTTAAGTTATTGTTATTTATTACCGTTCACTAATGAATTTCTCTTTTTTCCCTTATTTATTAAAGTTTCTTTTCAAAGGTGCCAAAGTATATGTGCTCGCAAAATGCAAAAGAAGGTGACAAAGGAAATTTTAATTGGGAACAAGGGTCCATGCTTTTCAAAGTATTAAAAAGTTTTTCGCTAGGCAAAAAATCACTTACTTTACCTTTTTTAAGAAGAGCTCTCGTGTGATTCCCCCAGATCTCAGCGTCTTACCTGTTGTTTTCATATTTTAGAGAAGAAACGTGTCAGAAGGAACATTTCTGACCGGCTCCCTTTTCGGGAGCAGGACACAGAGACCGGGGCACTCGGCTTCATTTCTTCACGGTTCTGTCTCCCAGCAGATAGGCTGTGTGCTCCATTCCCTGTTGTATTTAAGCTCTCACTCCCGTCCACGTGTATCTGTCTATCATGTGCATAACCATATATATCAAAGGTTAAAGTCCCCTTAGTAGGTAGTCCTGGATTCAGTGCAGACCTCAAAGTAACAGTCCTGTCAGGTAGCCAGGGTTCTGCCCTGATTGTGGAGACTCTTCCTCTATCCTTCCATCCACCACCTTCCTGAGAAACATGCTCGGCCCCAGTGCAGCCAAGGAGTGCCCCAAGCCTTCCAGAAGTGGGGTCAGCCAGTTGCCAAAAGAGCCACCAGTTGCCGCCCCTCCCTCGGAAGAAGGTGCCCCGGAAGGGTGGACACGCAAAACGGGCCTGGGCCAGCCTCAGCACACATGCCCTGCCACCTGGATGCTGAAAGCCCTTGACGGGGTGGAGGTGGAGGGTGAGAACAACCCTCTCCTAAGCACCCCAGATCATGGATTTGTCTGGCAGCTGACCCGTGCTCAATGCACTGAGCCCTGCTGTAGAGCTTGTTACACATCTCATAAAAGGGATTTTTATCGGAGAGATCATCCATCACTACCGTAGTGGCTATTAGCCCCAAACTATGACAGATTGAGCCGTTAAATAGCCTACTGGCCTCCCTCAAATAATCATGTTAATTTTACAAAGTAACCAAGAAGCAGCAGTTACCAGACATCCCTTCCCCCGCCCCGCCCCAAAAGACCCGAGCTGTCCATCGTTCTGCACCCTCTGTCCTTTCTGTTCCCCTTACACGACTCGGAAATAGAGGAGAAGGGCCTCCCTTTTGTCCTTTCTTGGGGCCCAAGCAGGGACCTTGCTGAGGAGCAGCCTGCTCAAAACAGGGACAGACCCAGCCGACCAGTCATTCACGAAGCACAGTTTGATGCAGCCCCAGGATCCTCTGTCCGATTCAGAGAGTCCTGGCTGACCTGGTGGCTGGTATCCCCAGGGGTCAGCCCCAGCCCCAGCTCCCCGTGGAGAGTCTCTGCCCACAGGGGCAGTGGGATTCAACGGGTGCTGACAGCTTGTTCCCAGCATCACCTACACACCATAAGCAGGTTTTAACTGAAGCAAATCGCTCCACCAAATCCACAAAAGGGTAAAGTTTGTGATTTTTCTCTATCATTGTGATTACCATCTGATCCAGTAAGGAGTGCACTTCTTTGGAAGTTTTGACTTCTCTGATCTGTCTCGGTCGTTTGTGTTATACAACCAAAGTTCTCTACAGACTTTATTTTTGTACAATATTATTTTGTAACTTTTTACAAATAAAAACTCATTTCTATTGCTCTCTGTACTTCTGTGCTTCCTCACCGGCCCGGACCATGACTGGCCCAGGCTGGAAGGCTGTGCCCTTCACTACCACTCAGCCCACTGGTTGGTCAGTGGCCTTGTCCATCAACTCTCCACAACCAATCACCACCCAACTGGGGAAGAACTTGCAAAGCTGTTCTTCATTTATTCATTCAACAAATACTTGGGGCGAGCGACACTGTGCCAGGCACTGTCCAAGGCACCAAGGATCCAACATTGGCCAAACAAACAAACAAAACTCTGCTCAACCCTGTGGAGTTGATATTTTATTTGAGGGGGAGACAGAGAATATTCAAAAAAGTAAAAATATGTAGGGATTCAGGTGTCGATAAATGAGTCACCATTTGTAAAGAATACAAACAGGATATCATAATAGTAAATAGCAGGGGCCTGCTCTAACTAGAGGTGACATTGAGGCGGGACTTACGAAATAGATAGGATTGTCCTGGCAAAACCCTGCGGCAGGCAAGCGCTTGGACGGCACCACCGCTTTGCACAACCCTGGGAGACGCCGTTCACGTGGGTTCTCCGCAGCAAAGTAGCAGAATCCCTGGAATTGTGCAAATGGTGGCCTTGGGCTTAGTTGTTGCTGGCAAGAAAAACACACTGAAGAGAGGAAATGCCACGGCCCTGGACTGCGGGGAGAGAGCACGCTTCCTCCTCAGATGACACACACCCCGTGCTGTGTCACAGGCGGCATTGTGACTATTAAAAGGTGGCCTTGTACAGTGTTTCAAACCCAAAATGAAACTCTGACGCTGTTAAGACTCTTCTAAGTGGCCACCAGCCTAGGCTTTCCAGCCGACCACAGTCAGGGAAGTACAGGAAATGCCCTCCCCTTCCGGACACTCACCATCCCCCAGGTAGAGTGGCTGGTACCCACTGTGGGCACTTGGAGTCCTGCTGCCAGGGCAGTGCTGAGGCCAGCTCACCTTCTCTAAGCCAGATTCTGGTCCGAAGCTCGGAGAGGAATGCGAACTCTTGCTTACCTCCACTCCTTTTACCGTCTCTCCAAAGTGTGTTCCCAGGGTGATGAACCAGGTGAGATGCTCGTAAAAAATGGGGTAGTTCTATGATCAAACAAGTTTGGAAAACATTGAGTTAAACAACGTCTTTTTGAAGTTAGAGAAGTGTAGAACTTATCAGAGCCTTTATTAAACTAATGAATCTTGTGACCGTCCAGGAGGGGCAGAGCGTGCAGACTTCCCCAGATGGATGGGACCATGAAACTGCCCATGATTTTGTTTTCTTTCTCACAACACCTGTTGCCCGTCCCTTGAAACTACCTTGGGCCATGTTGCCCGCTCCTATAAGCACCGGGATGAGCAGAGCGGGGGACTAGAGATTAATAAGAGTCAGAAACTACTGGGCAGCTCCCCACGTGCACACACACACACACACACACACACACACACGCACGCACGTTATGGACATTTGGGCATTGTGGGTTTCTTGTTCAGCATGATTAACAAGTGGTCAACTTTGGAAATTTCATTCAACCAAGAAAGGGAGAGTTGAAAGCTGGGAAATTCTTAGCAGCAATAAGAAAAGGAACTCTCGCCGTGCTTACCGTAAATGCTCACGCAGTTCAATTTGTTAGGAACCACCAGTGCTTTGGCTGGTCCATAGTTTTGCGGGGGCGGGTGCCCCCTCACAGTGGTCCTCAGAGGAATGTTTCTCTCTTTGGGCGTCTGACTCTGAGTGCTTGCTACTGAGGGTGGCATGAGAGCACGGGACCAGGAGCCCGGACACCAGGCTCTGACGGTCTTGTGGGGCTGTACCCACCGTCATCTTGGGCTGGTTTTCTCCTGTGTGTCAGATGCCAAAGTAACAGTTTAAAAGAACTTTTAAAAGAATCCACTCCCAAAGTTAAGATGGAAAATAAGAATTCCCTGAACCTAAGTCTCAAAAACAGAAAGCCCCTCCCCTTCACACACAGACACCCTCCTGGGCCACAGCTGATTTGCTACCTGACCCCAGCATCACGGGGAGGAGGGAGCCTGAGCCCTCGCACCCTCTACCTTCTCGGAGCACGGTGGCAGGGAGGGACCATAAGTGCCCACCATGGGCCTCGGGCTTTTTTCCATCAGGTTGTGAAGTGTCTGAGCCCCAACTGTCTTCCTGGGACACATCTTTGTTAAAAGGGTGTTACTGCAATCCCACACAGTAGTTAACTTGACTCTTATCTCCCCACACAACTTCCTGAATGAAATCAAAACCAGATCCTGCCAAGTCATCACTGAAGATAAATAGAGAGTTAGGGAAATAAGAGGAAAGCACCCACTTACTCATATGTGACAACTAATACACTGCCACGTCCCGGCCCCATGGCAGGTGAGGATAATGGTGATGGGAGTGCAGACGGGGTGGAGGATGTGCAGTGACGGGTGCGTGGAAAGTGCCAGAACGCCTCCACAAGCAGCAGGTGGGAAGAAAGCCTGGAAAAAAAAAAAAAATGAGTCAGGGAAAATTACAGAGTAGGCTTCCCAGATAATTTGAATTTCAGATAAACATGCATAATTTCTTAGTATAATTATGTCTCATGCAATATTTGGGGCATGTGCTATTTGGGACTTAACCCTACTAAAATGATTACTCATTGTTTATCTGAAGTTCAGCGGGGCATCCTGTATTTTAATTTGCTAAATCTGACAAAAGAAAGCGACGTTCAAGCTGGGACTGGCATGTGAGCAGGAATCTGTCAGGTAGACGGTGCAAAGGGCGTGGGCGGGTTGAGGGACAGGCATTCCAGGTGGAAGAGAAGTGTGACGCAAAAGGATGGAAGGGCAGTGCGTTTTCAGGGTGTAGCAGGCAGGGTGGTGGGCTCGGAGCTTACTTCCTCATCACACAGGGCACAGCAGACACCGTACCTAGGGGCCATGAAATGTTTCGTGATCCAAAAACTGTTTAGCTTTTAGTATTTTTAAAATCTGAAGAAAAAGTGAATGTAACAATAACGAATATGGAATACCAAAGCAGCCTGGGTTATATTCGCCTTTATATACCAGTGCAGTCATTGGTAATTGTTAACATTTTTTATGGAGAAGGGGCCCACAAAGGCAAAAGGGCCTCCGACCCACAAAAGTCGTCACTCAGCCCTGGCTGGGCTGCCAACAACAACCTGTCCAGGTTCTCTACCTGCAAGTTTTTTTCTAGTTTTCCCTTTCTTGTTCAATCATTAAAGCCGACCTTGAACTAAAAAAAAACAAAAAAAACCCAACTTCTTCTCACCTTTCAGGTTAGATTGTCTTAAGATATTTACTTCCTGTTTAGGAAAACATAAACCTAAGGATAGCCATTAACATTCCAAGACTCATTCGCTCTTCTTGAAAAAGGACATGAATCAGGTGACCTGGATCAGATGTAGTTGAGGGCATGATGACGGAGGGAAGAACAGGCAGACAGAAGGATGGATGGAGAGAAAGGCAGAGAGAAGACTTCAGGCCCCAGGAGGTCAGAGAACCAGCAGAGGTGGGCATGACACACAAGATGAGGTTTTCAAACATGTAGAATAGATTCTTTTAACTTGGGAAATTCTTTCAAGTGGGACATGTAGGGGATTTTAACACACTTCCTGTACGTGCCTGGGCCTCATTCATCCAATTAATTATTGAGTATCTATCTCCTACCAGAGGAGGATATAAGGATATAAAGATAAAGCCCTTGAGGGGCTCCCAGATTAGAGGGACAGAAATAAGAGTATTAAAATACAAAGTGATAAGGGCAGTGATGAAGAGTCGCAGTGTGTTATGGGAGCTTGGAGGGACAATAAACCCAGCTGAGGCTGTGGGGTGAGGAAAGGTATCAGGGATGGCTTCTTGGAGGTGGTCTGCCTGACAGACTATTAAAGGAGAGAAGGAATTTCCCAGACTAGAGTTAAAAGGCGAAAGATTTATACAATCTGAAGAGAAACCAGAGTATAGGAATTTCCCCGACTGGAGTTGAGGACATTTCGGGCAGCAGGGACTCGAGGGCTAAGCCATCAAGACTAGAGGCGGCCTGGTTTGTTGGTAGCTGGAGAAGGTGGAGATGGGGCAAGGCCAGAGCTTTGGAGAGCAGGACGGGTGAGCGTCATTGGGCAAGGGAGGGAAGGGAGCAGAGAGGCTGGGGGTGGTGAGAAGTGTGGGCTCCAACTCTGCATCCACCCTGGAGACAGGATCACTTATAATCTTTGCACCTGACCTCTCCCTTTCAGACCCTCTGTCCCCCACCCCCAGGCCCCTCTGGAGTCCCATCCTCTCAAAACCTTGTCCACACTGCTTTCCTTCTCCCACAGAAAGCCTCTCCTGCGGATGTCTACTTTCCCCAGGGGACTCCATAGGACTGAAAAGGCTCCCAGACTAGCATTTCCCAAACTGTCTAGGTGAACACTAGGGAAGCATCCATGGAGGCAAGAGCTCCTTGATTTTAAAAATTGGGGAAACACTGCATAGTCTGATTCCATCTCAGGAAGAAACAGTACACGTTACCTATCAAACAAGGCCCTGAGAAGACCTGCAGAGGAAAAACACGTTTAATGTTGTTTAACTCAGGATCTCACAATCTTATTGGACCAAGGAGCATCTGTTGACATCTAATGTAAGTGTTTTGCTGGACACAACTTGGGAAATGCTATTTTAGAACCAAAGGAATGGACCTCTAATGGAAGAACTGCAGACACTGGTAGGAAGTTATTTCTGGCCAAGGGGATCTTTCCACCCCACCACTGGTATACAGGCACCCTTGGCCTGGAGGACCTGAGAAATAACCGTCACGTTTTCTTACATGCATTACTGGTCCAGTGAGCAGCCAAATTCAGCCGTGTTCTCGTTTCTCCCAGAGCTTGAACAGAAGTAACCAACCCTCCTCCCCTGTCCCCACTCTCCACCCAGCTGGCCAACCCTGCCATAGTTCACAACTGCTGAGCTGGAAGACACTCCAAGGGGCTCTAATCCATGCTACACACACAGAAAAATCAGCTCTCGCGGTCTGCATTTGTGTTGTTCACCAGATAAAGACAGATCCCTTTCATTCCTGGCTACGTGGTGAGATTACACAGCTGGGTTCTCTTGTGCTTGACGGAGGCCAGTGACCGACCAGAGAGCATGGGCAGAAGTGACGTGGGCTTCTCCTGAGCCAACATTTAATTGCCATTGTGAGACTCAAGAATCTCTTTCTTGGGCTTCCCTGGTGGCGCAGTGGTTGAGAATCTGCCTGCCAATGCAGGGGACACGGGTTCGAGCCCTGGTCTGGGAGGATCCCACATGCCGCGGAGCAACTAGGCCCGTGAGCCACAACTACTGAGCCTGCGTGTCTGGAGCTTGTGCTCCGCAACAAGAGAGGCCGCGACAGTGAGAGGCCTGCGCACCGCGATGAAGAGTGACCCCCACTCGCCTCAACTAGAGAAAGCCCTCACACAGAAACGAAGAGCCAACACAGCCAAAATAAATAAATAAATTAATTAATTTTTTTTTTTAAAAAAGAATCTCTTTCTTTTTCTATAGTATGGCCACCAGAAACGTTCAAGAAGGTGGCTGCTCAGTCAACTTGGAGTGACTCTGATGAACAAGGCCACTCCGCCAACCTGCAGCAGACATGGCCTGGTGAATGAGAAGTAGCCCTGTGTTATCTGAGCCACCGAAATGTGGAGGTTATTTCTTACTGCAGCATGCCTCAGCCTATCCTGACAGATACAAGCCTCTGTTGTGATGAGGCACACTATGGGCCACGAAGAGAAAGAGAGCAGTCAGCAGAGGCAGGCAGAGGAGCGGGTGGGAAGGCTCAAAGGGAAGGGGGAGTGGTAGGAAATACACTTGGAGAGATAAGCAAGGGTCAAATCACGTAGAGTCCCTGGGGCCATCATAGGGATTTAGGATTTTCTTCTGACTCAGGCAGAAAGCCATCAGGAGGTTTTAAGAAGAGGGGCGACAGGATCTGGCTTGTGATGATAAGGGACAGTTCTAGCTGCTTCGTTGAGTTACAGACCATGGAAGCGAGGAGGCCAGCCAGGCCGAGGCAGGAGTCCACACGAGTGATGATGGTGACTTGGACCATCATCCCCCATCGCTTGGGGGTTAGTGATGGCGGTGCAGACGGGGCTCACTCAAGACTGGGCGGCAAGGAGGCCGGGAGAGCAAGAGGAGTGAAGGTGCAAACAGGATGGCACCGAGTCTGAGGCCAAAGCAGCAGCCTCTCTAAGAAGGCCGAGCTGTGCACGGCTCATGTGGGGGAGGGTCGCAGTCTCATGATGGACCTTTTCCGCTCGGAAAGTCACCACGTAAGAAGAGGGACGCTGGTCCTGACATCCTAACTCCGGGTGAGGCAGGAGCCAGGGCCGGGGCAGGGTTCCGAGGACGCCTGCCAGGCCCCGAGGTCTGGAATGCCATTAAACGTGTGCATGCTGGGCCGGCTGGCTCGCGTTCAGGAGGAATCTGCCACTGCTCCCTCTGACAATGTTTAGCATGAAATAAAAAGTTTGGTTTTCAAATGATGCGACGAGGAAGATTCTTGAGCGAATACAGCCAAAGCCTCTCGGCAGAATGCTCTCAGAGGCTGGGATTCCACCCACCTCCAGCCTTCTTTTTCTGTCTGGTCCTTCCCAGCTGTGCACTGAGGTGGAGCCGGCGGTTGCACTGGCCCCGCCCTGGTCCCCTGCCCCTCCAGCTCTGCTCGCTGTTGCCAAGTTCATCTTCCTTACCTCACTTCTCTACTCAGGATCCAGCCCTACCTTCCTGTTGCCACTCAGACCCCTCAGACTGCCAATCACAGCCTCCTCAACTTGTTTCCAACAAATCTTTTCTCTAGTTTTTTTTTTTGTCCCCCGAATCCTCCTTTTTAGCCTAACCTTTACCCTTCAGTCACTATGGATGACCCCATAGAACCTCAAAATACACATTGAGCTGTTTACACTTTCCATAATTGGACCCTTGCCCAAGCCTTTCCCTCTGCCAGGAATAATGTCCCTCATCTCTGCAGTGCTCCAAATTCCCCCCAGCTGGTATTCATTACTCACTTCACTGTGGTCCTACAGCCAAGCTCTTCATGGGTGGATCAGGCTGACCGCATGGGTCCCTTCACTTGTGGATATTCGTGCACTGACCTTATGTTCTGTGCTAGGTTGAGGACCCCTTGAGTGCAGGGGCCTCATCTGACTCATCTTTGAATCCTGAAGAGCCCCAAGCATGTGCCCTCACAAGTAGCAGATGCTCAAAAAGAATGTTTATTTGTCAGGACTTTGAGTTACAAGCAGCAGAAACTCAACTCAAGCTGTCTTAAACAATGAAAGGGAACTGATTGGCTCGTGCAACTGCAAAGTCCTGAGGTGGATCACTTCAGGAAAAGCTAGATCCAGGTGATCAACTGACATCATGAGGAATAGGCCCCTCTCACTCTCTCCCACTTCACTGTCTTCCACTGTGTGGGCCTTATTCTCAGTCTGTTTATCTCCACGTGGTGGCAA